ATTCGGTATATCTGGAGAATAAATTGTTCTGGAGAAACAGATGTGCAACATTAGTTGCCAAGAAAAGGTGACCACAAGGTGACCAGTGACCTTTTTATTGCAAAGGTTTTAGAGCACCATAGGTCTCTACTATTGTGCCAAGTTTTAGTAGTTTTTAATTAGTGGTTTTGTTTTTATAGGAATAATAATAATAATAAATATAGCTGCAAACCAATCATAGTGGCCAAGCACAAAAGCCTTGATAGAGTTTTAAATGGTAAAGATATATATTTTTTAAACTTATTTGAATATTTCATGTAATACAATATGGCCTCTAAATCCCATGATACATGGGGTTCATATTAAAGATGACAGAGCAAACTGTTGATATTTACCATGGTAACAGTTTTTAATATCTTCTATCAAGCTTGTCTGGTTTTGTGGTTATTTTAATAGTTAATTTGCACATTTGTGACAATTTCAAAATGGCTGCCAAACCACATGACTGACCAGTAGAGGTGGGCAAACATAAGTGCATTGATACAGTACACACATAAATATTGTATATAAATAACTATATTACAAAGATTTGCATTTTAAAATATATTGATATATTGAGATATTTTTATCACTATTTATATAAACCAAAATGCCCACCAGATCATGAAACATATGGGCTTCACATTGCATATGGCACAGCACACCATAACTGTTACCACCACATTGGTTTTTAAAAAGCTTTTGTGAAATCGTTTATTTTACAGTAATTTCACAAATGCATTGTAATATTTGTTATTTAGTGGCTCTGTCACCTTAAACAACTTTGGGACTACGTTGTTTTATGTATTTTCCTACGCGCTTTGTTAGCTTGGAATTGGAGCTTGCCCTTTTGTCACAATTATCAAGGAAAAATAAATAAGACAATGCAATCCTTATGTTTTAAAGTGGAATAGATCAGATGTGAAGAAAATAAGATACTAAAAGAAACAGAGAAACAGATACTAAAAGAAGAAGAGAAGATGAATCAAGAGGAGAAAGGTAAGTTTGAGATGACAGAGCCACTTTAAAATGGCTGCCAGATTACAGGACTAATTTACTTTAAGAAGTGGCCAAGCATATGTGCATTCCATAGCAAATGCATAAAGAGTATATGCAGAGAGGATAACAAGGAGAGACGTTTTTGAAGAATATTTAAAATCCTACAACTTAGGCCATATTAACCAATATGACTGCCAAACCATGCAACATGGTCTGTATATTGTATACCATAGCTAATCATCAACTTACTGATTTTAAAGAGTTCATTTTTGCAATTTAGATTTTACAATTAATCAATATACGGTAATGTTTTTTTAAGATTTCAAATTGGCTGCCAAACCACATGACTTATTGACTTCTCTTGAAGAAGTTTAAGTATAGGCCATAACATGACTCCACAAGCAAAGTTTCACATCTGTCGAATAAACTGTAAATGTGCACAAAAAAACAAAAAGCTGACAAACCACGTGATATATGACATCCATATTTCATATAAATACTCTTACCATAAACATGTGCAATTTGAGTTAATTTTTTTCAAATTCTAAATGGCCACTGAATATTGGTACTTATGTTATAGAGTAATCATATGTTTAACAAGTTGTGTTATATTTCAATAGTCAAAAAAGTCAAATGTTAAAGGATATATTAAATATCGTTGGCTTGCGGTGGCCATCATATTGACTTGCTTTGAAAGACCTTGGTAGAGGACCTTGCCACAAACATTTCTGCAAAATTTGCATTTCTATTACAAACCGTTATATAGCAGATTTTTAAAGAATGTTGCGAAATCCAACATGACCACAAAGCCATGTGACCAACTGACATCTCTTGAACAAATCTGAATATAGGTCACAACATAACCTCACACAGCAATTTTTACATTTGTAGAATAAATGGCTCTGGAGAAGAAGATGTTAGAATATTTTACATAATTGGTAGCCAAAACCAAGATGGCTGCCAGGCCATGTGACCTATGACCATTTTGTAAGCAAAATTATTAGTATATATATATATATATATATATATATATATATATTTGTGTTAGGTGCTTATGATAGTACAGTGTGAAATACCATAAATAAATGTAGGATAGTAAAAAGAGCAAGTCAGTTGTGGTGTGCCGGAACCGACGATGAGGTGGGCCTGAGAAAGAAGAGGGCCTACCCAGGGAAAGAAATTAGAAAATAAATGTGTTGTGGTGGGAGGGTCATTCAATGCTGACCTCGACCGGTAAGGAGCCAGGTAAGGGGAGTGCCTTAAGTAGGCTAGGGGTAGCAAACCAGCACCTCCCACAAATCCAGGCAAATTGCCTTAATACATATACATATATATATATATATATATATATATATATATATATATAAACAAAAATAAAAATCAAAATGCACTCACAGGTTTTCTGGTTAATAGGAAAACTGGTGCTTTAATAAATCATCTGTGATGTACAAAAAAATCAATCGACGTTTCGACCCTGCCGGGTCTTTTTCATCTTGAAAAAGACCCGGCAGGGTCGAAACGTCGATTGATTTTTTTGTACATCACAGATGATTTATTAAAGCACCAGTTTTCCTATTAACCAGAAGACCTGTGAGTGCATTTTTATTTTTATTTTTGTTTATATATTTGACGCCAACAATTTGCACCCAGGCATGTGAGTTAAAAATTTATATTTTTTTGGAGGTGAGTGCCAAGCGTTCACCTATACATATATATATATATACATACACACACATACATACACACACACACACAAACACTTGGGCCTCACTCACTGGCCTTGTAATGCATCTTAACTCCAGCCACAGTATATATCAGGCTTGCACAGCATGCAACTTGCAGCCCTCCCTGTGTCTTCTTTAACGCTGGGCAACACCTGGGGGACCTGAGGCAGCTGCCCGGGGGCCCTGTTGCCCTCAACAATGTTATTTTCCCACCATTTCAGCTGGAGTCCCACGAGTAGCCCATGCACTTAATGCCATGTGGTGGGCTTGTATCAGCAGGGGCCTGGTTGGTTGCTCTGACCCTTTCCCAGTGCCTCCATGTGCCTGTGTGTCAGTATGTGTCAGTGTATTTATACTTGTGACAGTATATCTGTCAGTGTATGTGCCTGTGTGTCTGTCAGTGTATGTATTTGTGTGTGTCAGTATATGTGTCTGAGTATCTGTATGTTGTGTGTGTGTGTGTGTGTGTATCTGTATGTAGTCAGTGTGTGTATCCATATGTATGTCAGTGTGTGTACCTGTGTGTCTGAGCATCTGAGCACCAACAATAAATACAAATACACCCCTACAGTCAAACATTAACACTACATACAAACACACCCCTGTGTTAAACATAAACATTAGATATCAACAAACCCCTTCATTCAAAAACTAACACTACACATAAATGCACAATTGCATTCAAAATTCAACACCACATACAAACACATACACACAAACATACTCCATACAAAAACATGCTTATATGCAAACATACAAACACAGCTCAGTGCTAAATGCAAGCATGGGAAATTGGTAGAGCCCCAGCTGTCAAAGCATTGTTGGAGTTCCACAACAGATCGAGTTCCAAAACCTTTTATCCAACCTTGCAATTGGGAGGCCCAATAAATTTCTTATTTAGTTCTGCCTCTGTGCTGGGGTGGAGGGCATGATACATGCCAATGAGTAAGGGGGGCAGGGAGAGTGGGGGGAGGGGGGCAGGGTCCAAGAATCCCAAGCAAATGCTTGCCCAGGGTCCGATCAATATAAAAGACAGCCCTGGGCCCACTAAAGCATTTTGTGTGGCCCACACACTAAGGAGGCCACCTGATGGGCCTTTGTCAGCAGAGGTCTGGTTGAGTGCTGTGTACCTTTAACAAGTCACTTCCTCCCAGAGACTGGAGTTGCACAGGAAGGAAAGGTGGCTGTGATAAGGGGGCCAGGCCAAGAGAGAGGCAGGAGCCAGAGAAGGCAGAAGAGGAGGTATTCTTCCAGCACTCAAGGTAAAAAACTGGAGGGTAGCTATAAAAGTATATTTTGACCTGTATTTATTCGTGTGTGTGTGTCAGTATCTATGAATCTATATGCATATCTGTTCATATGTGTATCTGTTAATCTACCTGTCTGTTCGTGTGTGTGTGTGTGTGTGTGTGTATCTGTATGTCTGCAAGTGTGTGTCTGTGTATGCCTGTTCATGTGTGGTGTGTATCTGTATTTTATACCTTTACTTGGAAAGTGAGGCACTAAAAAAATAAAATAAAATAAAGCCTATCTGCGGCCTAAAGAAATTTAGCCTATTTTTATTTTGGCCCCTTCCTACTGCCAAGTTGTGCAGATCTGATATAGATACCTTGGAAGAGGACTTTGTGAGGATATTCACGGGGTGATAAATATTAAAAATAATATTTTCATAGAAATAAAAAATGAAAAATTGTATTATATCAATTGATATATTGGCACGGTTTCCCCTTGATTGATTTAAAGGGAAGAGTTACCCACTATTTTAACTCTTACAGACCCTAGAGTACGTTTTATTAGATAATTTGTATTTCACACATTAATCAAACTAATTTATTAAAATGTATTGTGACAAATAATTAATATGTATCATGCGTGACAATTATCAGTAAATATTTAGGTATAACATAAGTATACATATGGCAACAGTTATGACACAGTTACAAACAGTTCAATAGCAACAGTTATACCCACATAGATGCAATTTTCAGCAAGATTACTCGCTAGACATTCCTGAACACAGAACTTTTCGCAGTGTCTCACAGTAACACAGCTCATAGCCATAAACATTTTTGCTGTCAGTTTGAATCACAGTTTAACTCACTCACTGCTGGCTACAGTTCTCACCTTTTATATTGCAACTAACAAGATACACTATTTCTCACAGCAAAATACAGTTTAACCATTCCTTCTCATCCAATAACCAAAGAATAATTCTAGCAGTTTTTACTTTCCAGATGATTAACTTTCCTGAGTAAAGATTGACTGTTCCTAAATTCAGATAAGTCAATATTTCTGGATAATAGCTTTATATGCTAAACTTTGCAAATTACCAGTAAATATATTGTTAATTCATTCCCGTTGCAGGAATGGAATGTATATTCATATATTTCCTTAGCTAGTTATGATTTCATAAAATATGAAATCTGACCAGCTTTTATCCAGGTATATTTCTGCTTTTAATAAAAATGTTTTTAAATTAAATGAAATAAAACCAGCATATTTATGAGCTTTCTTGGCACAAATTCTTTAGTCTTGGAGATATATTCCATTAAAGGACCACTATAGGCACCCAGACCACTTCAGCTTAATGAAGTGGTCTGGGTGCCAGGTCCATCTAGGGTTAACCCCTTTTTTTTTTTTTTTAAATAAACATATTTCTCTTGACAGCCCCTAGAAGCGCTTGCGTGCTTCTCACTGTGAAAATCACAGTGAGAAGATGCCAGTGTCCATAGGAAAGCATTGTGAATGCTTTCCTATGAGACTGGCTGGATACCTGGTCTGCTTGGAATACTGCAGCATTTCTCAGACTAGGGGAAAAGGACATCTCTGGCGGTAGATACCCCTCCTCACTCCGAGTGACCTTCACAGTTACTAATATTATATATATATATATATATATATAGAGAGAGAGAGAGAGAGAGAGAGAGAGAGATCTCTAATATATAATTATAAAATATAATATATAATATATATGTGTGTTTTGGCTGTTTCAACCCCCTTTGTTGCAGACAAAGTCTTGTAATCTTTGGTCAGTGTTTACGTTGGCCGCATTCCTTTGGTCAGGGTTTTGATAAAGTTAGAGAGAAACGAAAATGTCTGAGCTTTGCATTTTGTTACGAAATGGAGTCACATCTGCTAAGCGGTGACTTACAGTATACCTTTTTAATTTCTATCTTAACACAATGTCTGCCTGTATAATATACTGACGTTGATTGATTTTTGCTATTCTGCTTTATTGGGCAGTTCAAGACAGCATACAAGTCATTTTTTCAGTCCTTTGTCCGCACTTTTATCAAGACATGGTGACAATTTTTTTTTTTTTTTAATTTAACAATAAATATTATGGATTTATTCAGGTACACCATAAAGCAATATTGTGCTGAGCCCACCACTACATCACAGTACCCCAATGTCAGTGGGTCCCAGATCTGCTATTTGCTGGCAGTGGAAACTATCACCTTCAATATCCCAGCTGTATGTCACTTTGCTGAGGTGAGGCCATCCGTGCCATCACTCTGGTTTATGTCATTGATCATGTACCCAACCTGCCACGAGGAGGAAATTGTGTCTTGGACCTTCTAAGGAGAGAGGCTTCTGTTTAATTTAGAATTTCTCATCTCCTGCTCTGTTAATAGCTTACTCTATCTTGCAGAAGCCTCCTGTATGTAATTAAAGTTAATTTACAGAGAAAGAGATAAATACTTTTAAAGTAAGTTGCATCTGATTGAAAATAAAACCATTTTGTTTTCATGCAGGCTGTGTCAGTCATAGGGAGGGGAAGTGTGGCTATGTCTGCATAAACCAAAATAAAAAAGTGATAGAACTTCTAAATGGCAGTGAACTAGACAGTGAGACTTCAGAGCCATAATCTATACATAAAAACTGCTTAATTAACTTGTTTTGGTGACTATCGTGTCCCTTTTATTTCTGTTCGGCTGAATGACAAGACTCAATGAACAGCCTTGTACACTGCAATGATATCCCATACGTAGTTTTGCACCTGACCATGCCAGAATTTCACATACATAGTCATATTCTAGTTAGACCTGACCTCTACAATATCCTTTTTTAAGACCCCACCTAGTCATGATTGGTGATATGCTTTCACCAATGTTGTATGCACAAGATTGTTCATGAGGTTAGTTAATAGTTTTCAATGTTTGATTGATAATAACTAATACTCCCCCTAGACATTGCTTTATTGTGTTATTATAGAACGTTTACAATTTGGTTTTTTTTGCTTTTAATATTGCAGTTTTAAGTTTGAATTCATATATGTTCATTGTTTAGTAAATAAATCCCAGTTCTTTTCAAAGGTTACATTTAACTGACCCATTTGGACTCTGAAGAAACTGCCTTGTTTATTCAAAATTTTAGAAAAAGACTATCACTGGCACGCGCTAGCCGTGTATTACTACAACTGACTACTTCCACACATCTTTTTTAACAAATTATTTTTAACAAGTGTTTCATAAAAAAAAAACATTTAAAACAATGTTATAATAATATTAAGGTGGAGAGGGGAATCTTACATATCAAATAACATGTTGTCTAATGGTTACATAAATAACATTTTATAATAAATATGTAATGCAAGTTACCGGTTTGTAAGAATGCAGGGTGTGTGGAAGCATTTACATACAATATTTTTCTTTATCTAATTTTCCCAGTTGTCTTAATGAAACCACAATAATGAAATGTAATGTAAGTAAATGTAAAGTAGCACTTCAGGGTTAAGAATGTACAGGCAACTTAAACCCTAAATGGTAGTGAATTACGGATAACATCACACTAGCAAAATGTATGAATTGTTATAGACAACAAACTAGCTAACAACATGTTATGTCAATCGGCAGTAGCTAAGGTCATTGAGAAATTGTTATGTATAAAAATGGGCATTAATTCTCAGGATGAAAATATAAATTTGCCTCTTTATAAATCACTGGTAAGACCATACCTTGAATATACTGAAAAGGATATTTGGGCACTAGAAAAAGTGCAGAGTCAGTCTACAAAATTGATAAGGTGCCACTGGTAAGATTATATAATGATTCTCTTTAAGTGATGCTGACACTTTTTTTACCACTCTTAAGTCCCATTGGAGGCCTAGTTCCTTCGCCTATGACAACATGAAGTTTTGTTTAATTAAATTAGCAGAAAAGTAGTAATACTATCATAGGGAAATTGTGCACTTTTGATTGGAACGTAATAACTATATTTTTATAAGTTCTAATTGCTTACATTTTTTTATGTTTTGGTCTAAAAAAGGGAAATCATTTTTTTCTTGCAATGTATCAGAGATCATAGAGCACCAGGGGGCCATAGCATCATCCAAATCAAATTTAGTTTTTAATATTTCAAATGACATTAAAGAATTATTTTCAAAATATCAATGGATTTTGAATGTCAATCTTCTAATTCTAACAGTATTTCTCTATGATATATGTAATAGAGATGGAGAAACATATAGCGCCGCATTTCTAATAAAATCTAAGGATAAGTAAGGATTACACTTACAGATTTTGGGAGCTCTTGAAAGCTCCACTTGTACGAGCGGTACAATCACTGCTTCTAGATTATTATTATTATTATTAATAAATAGCAAGAAGCTCTAGGTTGTGTGTTTCAAATTGACACAAGTCTACTAAAGTAGTGAAACTACTGCTCACGCTCATACAAGTGGAGCATTAAAGAGCTCCCAAAATCTGAAAGTGTACTTCTTACTTATCCTTCCATTTTACTAGATGTTTTGCACTATATATTTCTCCATATTTGACACATATATCATTGAGAAATACTGTAGGACGCTAACCCTCCCTTCCCGTAAAAGAGATTTACATTATCTGAAAAGAGGAGAGACTTCGGATCTGATGTTCAAGCTGCCTGGCCTCATCTAATACTACAGGAGAGCTGAACCACCATATAGACTCTAGACCAATTTAAAGTGGGTTTTACCATTTTAAATAAATTATCCCATACTTTCATGGAAATTATTGTTGATGGAAACAGCTCATGTAATTTTGGTCTTTTTAAAATAGGGAACCAAATTATTTAATTAAATGTGAATATAATGTATCAGTTTCCATTTCTAGCCATTCTGGCTTGTTAGGGTCCAAATTAAATTTAATAGCAGCTGCCACATTAGTTACATAATATTTTTTTAAATCTGTCACTCCCAGACCTCCACAACTCCTCAGCGACTGCAGGGACAACAACACATCTTAACATTTTAATTTACCATTAGGTTCTTCGATTGAGACTGGAGACAATAAAATCATGATTATTGGTCCTATTTCAACATATCTACAAGACTGCGGGTATCTCTTCTTCAGTTACATAGTTACATAGCTGAAAAGAGACTTGCGTCCATCAAGTTCAGCCTTCCTCACAAATGTTGTTGCTGTTGATCCAAAAGAAGGCAAAAAACCTGGTCTGAAGCGCTTCCAATTTTGCCACAAACTAGGAAAAAATTCCTTCTTGACCCCAAAATAGCGGTCAGATATCTCCTAGGATCAAGCAGCTATTACCCCACTAATTAGAAATTATATCCCTGTATGTTATGTTTTTGTAAGTATTTATCCAATTTCAGTTTAAACATCTGTATGGACTCTGACAAAACCACCTCTTCAGGCAGAGAATTCCATATCCTTATTGTTCTTATTGTAAAAAAACCCTTTTCTTTGCCTTAGATGAAATCTCCTTTCTTCCAGCCTAAATGTGTGACCTCGTGTCCTATGTATAGCCCTGTTTATGAATAGATGTCCCGATAAAGATTTGTACTGGCCCCGAATATATTTGTATAAAGTTATCATATCCCCTCTCAGGCGCCGTTTTTCCAAACTAAACAGATTTAATTTTTTTAACCTTTCTTCATAACTAAAATGCTCAGGATTAGTTATCAGGATTCGGTAACAGGATGGTAAAGCGTTTATCTTAATTGTAATCAGATAATTGTATTGGTGCTCGTAAATGTATTTTATTGTCATGACTGCAGTCTAGTATCTGATAAAGGAAGATAGAAATTATTCTAGCCAGGGGGTGCCTCAAACTGCCTTTCAGAAAAATAATGGTCTAAATAAAATGGTCTACAAAACTGATACCTTATTTATTAGAGTGATCTGTATTCCCATCACCCATTAAACTTGCAGTATGAGATTTAAATATCTCTGAAGGTAAATGCAAAACCAAGAGCGAGTAGCTGAGAGAAATCTAGCACTTATTTTATATCTAAAGATCTAATTTGCCTGTAAAAGATACTCGCAGTTAGTTGGCACCTTGTGTTTATGACCCTCTAGCATTAAGTTTTAATTTTCGCATTTACTTGGGTACGATATTGTCAGTCAAAAATGTAATCTAAATGTAATGGCTAGGGGTCGACCGATATTGTTTTTTTAGAGCCGATACCGATAATCTGTGAACTTTCAGGCCGATAGCCTGTACATTTACCATTTTGAAAAAATAAACTATTTCTAAAGGTAAATGCACAAAATAT